GCGATTTTGGGGGGGGGGGGGGGGGGCCAGGTGGAGACGATGATATTTGCATGTCACAGGTAATTAATCACGGACACTTACCTGGTGGCAGGCCCATGGGGGGCGGTCGCATCATGTTACCTCCGTGAATGAGTGCAGGTGCAGCCAGGGTCATGGTGGGTCGCATCAGTGGCGCCATCAGCGCTACTGAACTGACCGGCATGGCAGCCGAAGCTGGTACCATGACCGCCTGCGGAGGTCTTTGAAACCTCTGTTGCTGTTGCTGGAGAGCACTCAAGGCGGCTTGCTGCCTCTGGTGTTGATCCTGAAAAGCGGCAGCCGCCGTGGCAGCTGCCGCCTGTTGTTGCTGGTGCTGTTGTTGCAAAGCTGCTGCCTGCTGTGTCGCGTCTGGTTGCGACGGTCGAGATTCTTCACTTTGTCGTCGTTGATACTTCGGTAATCTTGCCCGAATCTCCTCCTATGTTTCATGATTTGGTTCTTACATACTGTCATGTGCGAATAATCTACTCTGCACACTAGGTCAAAATTTGTGTATACTTACCAGACTGAGGTCTTCCGAAGGATGAATTATTTTACTTGCAGCACCCGTGGTCGCGATGAGGTTTACTTTCTGCTCGCTACTGTTAGTGCTAGTCACGGCGCTGTTTTCGGAACCACTATACGCGGGGAATGTGGGTTTTATTGGACCGATCGATCCTCCTGCTATCGATGTAATTGGCTTGAAATCCGCACCAAGTGGCGTCGAGGCGGAGGTCGAGGTTGCTGCTGTAGAAACAGCGGCAGCACTCGGGAATAAGGGCCGTGCCGGAGGCATCGAAGCCCCAGATACCGGTGGTTGCATTCCCGGGGGCATACCTGGCATTCCTTGCATCATACTGCGAGGGTGAAGATTTCTGTTAGATCCAAGAACAAGCAAGTTTCATATAAAAACAATTGGCTGACAAAAAAATTTAGACATTTACCCATGTCCCATAAAGGGCGGTCCCACATGACCCATGTGACCCATCATAGGGTGCATAGGTGGTGGGTATTGGCCCATTGGTGGCATTCCAGGATGTCCTTGCATTCCAGACATAACCCCAGGCATCATGTTAGAACCAGTAGGCATCGCTCCTGGTGCAGAACCTAAAAGACCTTCTGGTTTGGCCTTTTTAGGTGCGGGTTCATCCTCTCCTGAACTTGGTGAACCTGGTCTACCACCATTTCTTTGTCTTTCGTGCTCTTTCGCATCATTAGGTGGTATACCTTCCATACCATAAATTTCTATCTCAATATTGCTACGGTTCGGCAACGAATTAGGTACCTTATCTATTGCCTCTTTATGCACCTGCAAAATAAATTTTTGTACTCCACGAAGTCTTCCACGTTTCAAGTAGAGGGATGAAAAAAATCAATATAAATGACATACCTGCATACAGTGTATACTAAGGCCTGGCCCTGTATATAGTTTCTTGTGGCAAATATGACATTTAAAATGCTTTGCCTTCTGATGCTGAATCAGAATTTTCTCATCATCGAATTCCCGGTTGCAATACCTTTAAAGCTGAGTTGAGGAACTTATATCAAATGGCACTGTGTGATCAGTATAATGATTAAAATAAAAGACCTGACACTGAGGTCAGCATCACGAGCGAATAAACGATGATAACAATAATGGTAATTTGAAAAATAATGAATGTTTATGGTCCCACATTTGGTAAGGCTAATGAGCGTTCTCGTATCGTTTATTGATTATTCGAGGAACTTTGTAGCATCCGAATTGCATGTATCATGAACTTCTGAAGTAGCTGCCAAAAAAAAAAAAAAACGAGAAAAAGATTCACTAAAGCTCTTGTTTTTTGATTAAAGAAAAAAAGTGCGACTAACATTAATCGCCACACGGACAGTCGTTCGTTAAAAATAAAATAATTGCGCTATGTGTTTAGTTTGAAAAGGCCGTCGGATGCCTTCACAGCGCATCTTGCGCGACCTAAAAATACAGTTACGTAAAAAGGAACGGCTCCAGAATACTATTCGGTAAAGGATACCAGCACCACGGCCTTGACTGCTTCTTCTTCTTACGTCCCATTCTTCTTAGGTCTTCAACGAGTCAAGAAAAGCACAAATATGTCGATTAACGCGACGTAACTACGTGTTAAAAACTCCAAACACGTACTGGCAGCGCTCACACGCGAAAACCAATAATACAAAATGGCTACGAGGCCTCTTCCGTATACAACGGAAGTGACCGCAGCGTTAAAAGGAAAGACAGGTAATCTAAGAAATAATAAATCCCTAGACGAGGAAATTAAATGGCTACTGAAATCAGAAGACATCAGTGCCGTACAAATGCAACTAAATCATACAATTTTGCCTTCGAAACGTGAAATGAATGAATACAAAAAAATGACGACACAGACTGCTCCGATAGAATTGTATAACATTACACATGTGACTTTATATATATATATATATATATATATATATGTATGGTACTACAATGTATAATAATTTTGTAAAAGTATATTATGATAATGCAATTTGTTCAGAATGACGGATATTTGTAGATGAGGCGAGATCTCCGTTAGCTGGATTTTATGCGTTGATTCAGGGGCAAATCACTCTCCGAATCACTCGAATCGATTGTACAAGGGGGATCGTCGTCAGAGGATGGGTAGTCATCCTTCCTCTGCTTCAATGCTACCTTGTGCATCTTCCTCACCTTAAAGAAAATAAAGCAACCTGCTCTAGAAGACTCAGAGAGAATCAAAAGGCTCCCGGTGGTTACCTTTGGCCAATGCTTCGCCGTTCTCTTCGGCGTGATACTCTTCGGCACGTACTTATCTGCTACGGTCTCCACTCTTCTGATGTCGAAGTCCTGATCGACCTTCGTTACTGTCTGCAACCTCTGCTCCTCGGACGTGACGTACAAGTCATCAGGCTGGTGATAGCTATTGTGCACATCGTATGCCTTTTTACTGCAGAACAATGCCGCGCACATAGTGCATTTTATCAAGTCCTCGGGAACAGCTTCTCTCTCCTCCTAGGAACGAAAATCCGTTACATGAAAACGAGTCAGAGAACATCTAGATAAACTCTCACCTGCGTGTGCGCTTTTTCGAGATGCTGCTGAAGATTAAATTTTATCACATATTCTGCTCCACAGAGGTGGCAATAATAGACGCTTAAGGCGTCATTCATAGAATTTACTTTAATCTTATTACTGGGCGGCGGGGTTGCTATCGGTTGAAACAAATGTACCATCCTGTTCACAAAAGCACGATTAGTCCGAGAATTTTATGTGGATACATGGATTTCAACGCTCACCGCTTGTGTATGGATCGATAATGATAATCTAAGGCCTTCTCGTTATAAAACATTACATCGCAATCTTCGCACTTTCTATGCTGCTCCTTCTTTTCACTCTCGGCTGGATCGTGAGACGCTTGATGGTTGTCCCTGTGTGTCTAAAAAAGAAAGTATCGAGTGTCGTTAAGAAATCTAAAAGTCATTTAAGCTAAGTATCCATATCAGAGGTATGGGAGAATGCGAATATACCCACTTTCAATGGGAACTGCATCCCACAGAAATGGCAATAAAATTTCGTGGGAGAATTTGGATGCACCTTAAATCGGTGCCTTATAGTGGCAGTTATACTGTCAAAGGACTGTCCGCAAATATCGCATTGCGTATCTGCATTCTTATTCTGTTTGACTGGCTTGCCACGAGTGTCTATTTCCTTATTGGCATGTTTCCTGAAATACATGACCAAGTTATAATGCGTAATGATACAAATAATTTGTACGTGTTTAAAAGAGAATTTGCCGATAAAGCGGCAAAAACATTACGTATGCTTAATTTCGCGTCGATAATTTTAATATGAAGACGCAGTCGGTAACGTCGTCACTAGTATCCTAGTATTTACACTCCGTGCACAACAAAATATAAAATTTGTGAGATCACATAAGGCAGCACGCAGAAATCCAGTAACTGTTGTACGAATAGTCGTTGGGCAGGATAAATAAATAAACGGGCGAAGAGACCCATGAGGATGATCTTAACATAATATAAAATGACACGAAAGAGCAGAAGTAAGAAGAATCGATTGTTTGGTGATTTCATGGTCGAACCATAAGCAAGCGGTGCATTAGACACATAAACACTGAGCTGTCAGCAATACCTAAAATGTTCTTGGAGTGCTTCCTTGGACTCCAACTTGGTATCACATAGGACGCAATTGTGCTGCCCTTTAGCACTCATTTCATAATTATTTGTAATTTCGAACAAAACATCGAAAGTTGACTTCGCTAACGAAGCTTCGCCAGTTGGCTTCACGGCAATAGTCCTGTCAGAGGAAACTTCGCGCACCGAGGAGAGAATATTTTAATTGTCACGTCAAAAGTGACCACACATGCTTTTGAAATGAACGTCGTATTATTTTACACAAATAATACTATTTTGCGCGCGAATCTCTGATAATTTATGTGATAAACGCGTTGCGAACGTGAAAAATCAATTCTCGGCCATCTTAATCACATTGAAACTCGCGCCATCTGCTGGCCATGCACAGAAAAACCTAAAGGTTTACAGATGAGGAGTGAATTTATCAGATTATCCTTCTGGGGATATTTCGTACTTCAGGTGGAATGAGGGAACACTGACATCCTACCTGTTGCTACAAGTGTCAAATGTTTAAATGATTTGCTTGAATCCATCTTATTGTTAGTTTCAGTTTTAATAGAACAAGGAAATTTTGTACCTTGTGAAACAATTATTGCAGCACATCAATATTTAGTATTTCTCATTGTTTAAACAGAATTCGCTTAATCAGTTGTAAATGAGTATCCTGTACGGAAACCTGCATATTAGAAAGTATCATTAATACTTTTTAATATTTATATATATAATATATATCTCTATAATATATATACTGTTTGAATACTTTTTAAAGATAGTCGTTCTCATAAATCTTCACTTTTGTTTAACCTAATGGAAGAACGAAAATACGGAAATAAGGACATAGTCACATGAATGTGACTATTTTTATCACGCGCAGCTTATTTTTTAGTTTTGGGTCCGATAAAAAATTTGACTCAGTTGTTCTGTGAACGCGATATGACATCATATGAAACGCGTAGCACCACCTTACTTCTTTAAGTTTCTTTCAAATACACATTGTCTGTTTATATGTATAAATGGAAATCTGACGATCAGCCGTAAAAAAAAAGCATATAAACTTTATAATCTAATTATCGTAATTCCTGATACAAAGGCGCGGATACTTTTCCGTCAGTAATACCTTGGGCAGCAAGTTCTGCCAAGGTACGCTCTAGATAACTCGGATCTGGATAACCATGTCCAGAGGTAGATGGTCCAAGTTCAGTTTTATGATGAATCTCATTCCAAGTGATGACATCTTCGCGACCAGTAGTCACAGATCGGCCAACCGTAAACGTCAACCTTCGCTCAAAGGCTATTTGAAGCAGTCTCAACACTCTACGACCTAAATCATTATCGGGAAGATAACAAACCCGTGGGAATCCAACAGCATAGTAAGCTTGCCCTGGATTTGGGTGTTCTGGTCCTTGAATTCCGGATGGGATACTGAAACAAGTATATGGAATGTTGAAGAATATTTCAGGATTAACGAAAGACGGAATACTGGTGAAGGATTTTGTAAAAAAAGACGCGCTTACTCATAGGTGATTTGTATGGTGTTTGTGTTTGGGAAACCAGGTAATGCTCTTGGTATTCTAGTCCAGTTCATTGTTCCTGATGGCTGATTGCCCCTTTTTTCACCGTAAATCAAACGACACACCGGACACTGTATGTACATAGGATGTTGCTGTGAGCTTAGCATTGCATTTAAGCAAGCTAGATGTAGTCTGTGCCTGCATCGCGTTAACTCTACAGTCAAAGGCTCTGGAGTTCCAAGACAGATTGGACATGAATCTGACCCTGCACTTTCTACCACTTTTACATATTGAGATATAACATCAGTAGTCATGTCGACGCCTATTAAATTAAATTCATAGCACAATGTAAGCAAACTGTCATTAAGAAATAAATGCTCTATATATTTGAAGTCTTTTTCCCTTACCGACTACGGAGTCTTTGAAGGCATCGTCGCTTCCCATGCTGCTGTCCAACAAGTCAATTGGATTTTCGTGACTTAAATACGTTGACACAGTGTCCACGCTGGGTCGACGTCCACTTTTTGTGCTACTAGAATCCACATCCAAAACTGTATCCCAAGCTTGTCTCTTATGACAAGGTTCAGCTGGTGGTACCGGATTATTTTCTATGCCATGTTTACTTCCAAATATGTTCAAGTTGCTTAGAATAACTCTGGCTATGTTGGAAGGTCCTGTATCTCCATTTTTACCCTGAATTTATAGAAACGAATTGTAGTAACGAAGCATGAACTTCTCCAAATGTAATTTACCTTTTTGCTGCTCTTCTTAGTATTAGCACTGGATTGTTTCTTATGAGCTACTTTGGTGCCAGTATTTTTCACTACCATATTTGGAACTTTTTTTCCAGTAGCTAATTGTAATTCTTCTAATGCAACCTTGACCAAAGGATAGGGTGCTTGTTGTAAACGCCGTACAGGTCTCACATATCCAGTACAGCATCTCACTTGGGTCAAGTTACAAAAATTAATAATATAGGGAAATCCAAGGTATGTTTTGGAAACATCTATTGTCTTGTCACCCTGTAAATGTAAAAGTATTTTTTTAATTAAATTAAGAAATGCAAGTCAAAGTTCTTTAAAAATTTGAACATACCCTAGCCCAGGATTCTTCTATCAGACATTGTACCTCCATATCATACGTATGCCAATCATCGGTATCACCAGCCCATTCCCATTTTGCACCTTTTCCAGCAGGAGAGCCAGGAAGGTAAAGCTTCCTCCTGACACTGTGAGTTTCATCCCCGTCATCACAGCATTGCATCTTGGTCTTAAGATTGATGTAGTACCTAACATAAATGTAACTATCGTTTTCGATTGATGAATCACCATAAAAAGCACATTCAGCGAATTTATACGTTATATTATCATTGAGAAAACAATATCGCATTACAACAGACCTGTCCAAATTGGGATCGGCATCATTTAGAAAAACTCTCGTTAGTTTTTTGCAGTGAGCCCGCTCGAGATGCTGAGAAACTGCAGGACTATAAGGCCTCCATCGTCCCTGACGATTTTCCCATTCCCAGACGACAACGGCATGCCCGTGTCCGTGCTGTGTCTGCCCGCTCATCTTCTTACTGGAATTTCACTGATTCTCACAGCCCGCACTGGTACGCATATCCTCAGCCTCCCACGCTCCCCATAACTCTCTCTCTCTCTCTCTGTCTTTCTTTCACGAATATTCCTATTTCTCTTTATTTACACGACCTGATATTCTTAATGAATGTTATTTTCCTCCAACCCTCTCTGGATTCTTGGAATTTTTAAAAATATATAAGTCCATTACCCGAATATCAATGACTACTAGTAAATGATTGCACCCACTGAAACACTGCAAGGTGATACAGGAATATGTATGTACTCTTCGCTTTTCAGTGCTCCAGCGCCGTTGCGAGGCTAGCAGGCTGAGAAGATGAAGAGCCAGGAGCAGAAGGGGCAAGAACGCTGGAGATGGGAATGTGGGATCGGGATGCAGTGGGGCGAGGTCTTCACCATAACAGAGATGAGTAGGGAGATGCATAACGCTACGGTTTTAGACGATACTAAAAACATGGCGCTAAATCGTAGCGGCGTGTCCAGGAGTAGGATTTTGTGATCATCGCCTCCGTCGATAATGCATGTTCTGTCGTAGCCGAGCTGAACGTGATCACCAACGTATAGCTTGGCGGGCAGAGGTTCTCCGCAACTTACCGCTGGTTCCCAGAGCAACCCTTAGAACGCGGCCGCTCACCAGATATTGCCAAAATATTTTTTTTTGTAATCTTAAATTCGAGTGCACAGTGTAAGCTCGATAAGATTTAATACGACAAAAGCCAGCACCTGATGCCCGCTTGCGTTAAGGAGTGCAGCGATGCGATACTAGATTCCAGCATTATTTAACAATAGTTCCAGGCGGAACTATGGTCCCAACATTGACAACTAGAGAGAACTATTCCGGAACTGTTTGAAACACAACCTGAAAACAACACTGAAAGCCAGCTTCTTATACATACCTGCACTGAAGCATATGGTGCGACTAGTATCCTTAATAGGTATTTTAACGATGTTACGTAGCAGAACTATTGTTAAAACCTATCAGGAACTATAGCACTCCTCGAGAACTATTGAAAAAGCCTATTGTTAAATCATTTTTAAGAGATTTTAAAAAAGTGCGGTACTGGAGCTGACACCCGTGTAGCACCTCAATTTTTGAACAATGTTTCAACAATAAGGTTTTTCAAGAGTTCTAGAGGAGTTCTATAGTTCCTGATAGGTTTTAACAATAGTTCTGCTACGTAATACCATTAAAATACGTACTTTCCAAAAATTGAGGTGGCAGTCGTGGTCGATTTTTATTAACTAAAATACCATCAGGGCCACTGGGACGCTAATTAAGCTCATAGCTGTCTCGACGTAGCGAGTTCCTCGGCAGAGGACAATACCCGACGGAGACGTCTCCATTGACCGGCAGGAGCTCGGGTGAGATGCCGGCGCCCCGTTGGAGATGGGCAAAGGGCTGCAGAGCGGGTGGAGATAAGGTTTCGTTACGATAAGGGGAGGAACCTCCTGCCCGAGTTAAAGATGTGGTACCCAGCTGTCGTCCAATGTCCTGGGAAAGCCGCCGTGGAGGATCTCCAAATGTTACGTACCGATTTGCTAAGGAACGCTCTCCACTTGATTCAGAGGGACGGCATAAGGGAAAGGAAGAGTTATCAGCTATCAAGATCTCGACCAATCAGATAATCTTTCCAATCAGTCCCCTTCGAAATATTACAGTCTCTAGTATATTCTCAGACACCATTTTTTTGAGTTTTTTAAAAAAGTTATAGGTAGTATAGTTATAAGTTAAAGGTAGTATAGTTATAGGGAATACATCTCTTTCTATCTGTGTTTCGCTACGGTATAGAAAGTTCTCGCTGGTGTAGTTCTCGCGTTTCTTTCGCGATATCCAGAAAATTCTATGGATTTCTCGTGCGTGTTCCGGACGTGTAGTGCAATGACCTAGTGAAGTGCCCACCCGAGTGTCCTCTGGATACGGTTCTCCGCCTTCTCGGATTAGCTGCACCAGCTCCGGTGAGTACTCCCAATTTATTAATTATATAAGAACAATGTCAAAAGTCAAAGATAGGGCAACGTACAAGGAATCCCCGTTCTTGGATTCTGAAGATACGCGAAACTTCACCTTCGGCGGGCTGTATCTCGCAAACGGTTGGATCTACGGTTTTCTCGTTGAAATTTGTTAAGATCTCTTAACGCAGAAACGCAGAATGGTCCATAGAAGAGGCTGGCACAGATAGAATTGCCATAGGGCCACGCAGAACTATTGTTAAAACCTATCAGGAACTATAGAACTCCTCGACAACTTTTGAAAAAGTCTATTGTTGAAACATTATTTTCGGGTTTTTAAATAGTTCTCAAGGAGTTCTATAGTTCCTGATAGGTTTTAACAATCGTTCTGCTACACAACATCGTTAAAATATGTATTAAATATGCTAGTGGCATCATACGCTTCAGTGCAGGCAGGCATGAGTTGCTTGCTTTTGTCGTATTAAACTTACCGAGCTTACACTGTGCGATCGAATTTAGGATTGCAAAGAAAAAAAGTATTTCCTTCAAGAACCCCTCGGCTCAGCCTCGGGAACCTCAACTCTATACGCGGCGCAGTAACGCTCTCGGTGCACAATATACTATAGGCTATATCCGATGAGCTGTCTCGTTCTACGTGTTGCTTTGGGAACCAGCGACAAGTAGCGGAGGACTCTGCCCGGCAAGCTACACGATCGTGATCGCGGTTAGCTCGGCTACGCCGGGATCCGCATTATCGACGGAGGCTATGATCACATAACTCTACTTCCGGACTCGCTGCTGAGATTCAGCGCCATGTTTTCAGTATCGCCTAAAGCCGTAGCTTTGTGCATCTCCCTACTTATCTCTGACCATAATTCTCACTGGGAAGTGGGAACTGCTGGGAACTGTGAAGATGACACTGCTCATATAGCGGATCTTTCATTAAGCTACATCGTATGCGCTTGGTGTCCTGCAGTGAAACCCAATGAGATCTATTCTACCAACACACTCTCCAAATTACAAGCGGTCAGAGTTTGTTAGTACCCCAGTTAGTACGTGCGTGTGTTGCGCTCAGCTCCCAGGGCATTAACCAATGGGTTTTCAAAAAAAAAAACCGAGTATTTATACGAATTTCGTCCAACATTGTTCGAAATCGGTGCATAAACTCTGTAGGTTCTCACACTCTCAGTTATATATAGGACCCATCTCGCGAGGTACATCGCCATCTTGTGTGAACTTCCAATCCAATGTTATACAGGACCAGTTACTGGCACATGTCTCCCATTGAGGATACAGCCATAAGGAAAGGAAGGAAGTTAGTACGCGCAGTACGCTGCTGCTCTTCTCAGCTCTTCTGCTTCTGTACAAAGCATTTGTCAGCTGTTCGTTTCCTAAAATTTTTTCGTTGATTCTACTCATACCTGTTTAATCTGGTAGTTGAACAATGTACTTAATTCATCGAAAGGGATTACGATTTTCTCGAGAATCGTAGCGGTCAGATTGGCTTATGGGCTATTAGGTTAGATTACATTAAATCTGGAAAACATCGACAGAGTACTCCAGGTTTTTCAGAAACAATAAATTAACATTATGGACGTAGAGAGAATTGCAGTATTTGCTGGTGTTGGTTTTGCATTAGCTGTCGGTGCGTTTGTTCTCTGGGGACCCTCGCCAAGACCTAGAAGAAGAGGTACATGCTTTAAGATTGGGTTGGAGCTTTAGCTATAACCATCACAGACATTTTTTAATTTCAGGTCAAGTTGTTGGAATTACCAATTTAGGATACACCTGCTTTTTAAATTCCCTTCTTCAGTCATTAGCATCATGTCCTACATTTATATCATGGCTCCAGAAGCAGCACAATAAAACACAGAAGATTTCCTTCACTAGCACTCTTGTTTCTGTTCTGGAAAGTAAGACACTTTCTTATTGTTTGCAAAGTATAAGTTCCATAGTATTAAGATTAGATTGAAGCTCTTCTTTCTTTTCTTCTTTGGCAGAGATCAATGGATTTTCTGATGATTTGTATGGAGATGTCACCCCTGTTGAAATTATCACCTCTCTAGGACCCCTATGGAGTTTTGCTCCAGGGCACCAAGATGCCCATGAACTATTTCATGTAGTTCTCAGTGCGTTACAAGCAGAATCTCAGCCTGTCAATAGGGTATGGAACAATTGTTTAAAGTTTCAGTAACAGCAGAGGATTGATGAACACTTATAATTTTAGAAAGGCTGTTTATCTGATGCTTTGCCAGAGGGACTTCAAGTTATATCAGACATTAAGGGTTCTGGCGATCCCTTAGGATTGAGAAGCGTGTCCTGTAATGATATTGCTGCATCTGAAAAACATCCAGAAGCGCTTACAACTATTGACAAAAATTGCAATGATCAGATGATAGCATCCACCCAGTCTGTTTCAAGAACCTCTATACCCTCCAACAAACCTGGCATGATTCTTGCTAGGTCTTCAGAGATTCTTACAAAAGAGGAACTGGTAAATTGTGCGGATAAAGGAATATTTAGACCATGGAGTTCCCTTTGTGCCATTCCACTTCCCAGTGTTCCTGCCCTTTCCAATGAAGTGCATCCATTCTCTGGGCTGCTAACCAGTCAGCTGCAATGTACTAATTGTAATTGGAAGGTGTGTAATGTAACAACGGAAAACCTTAATTTTTCTACTAAGCGTACGAATTCTCTAGAATTTTATTAATATTCGCAGTCCTCTGTACGATACGACAAACTGGAAAGTGTATCGTTGCCATTGCCACCAGCTAGTGCAGCTCTTACATGGAGACGCCACACTTTAACAGAACTATTCTCTCGTCTAGTAACAAGCGAAATCATACATGATGTTCAGTGCGACGGATGTGCATTGCGTTGCCCGGCGGTGAAGACACTAACTCTTGGCAAACTACCGCGATGTCTATGTCTTCATATACCCAGGACAACATGGAGTTCGTCAGGAATGCCCATAAAAAGAGACGATCCCGTCATTTTTCCAGAAATTCTAGTACTAGATTCGTTTACATTCACCGAGACAAAAAAGCGAAGTTCCCAGGTAAATATTAATATAATTTTGTAATTATACAGAATTCTTTACGACTTGAATGTTGTATTCATCAGGGTGGTATGCAGGCAATGCTCATCCTGGCTAATCAGAATACGACTCATGGAAAACACAGATACAGATTGCGAGCAGTCGTGGAGCATAGGGGCCCCGTCGACGCCGGTCACTTTGTTTGTTACAGACGAGGAAATCGGCCAGGTCAGTGGCTGTACACCTCTGATACAACTGTCGAGAGCACAACTCTGACGGACGTTCTTTTCGCGAGTCCGTATCTTCTTTTTTACGAGCGCATCAACGGATCGCAAGAATAGCTCATGAGATATTCTGATCTCTGTATCATCAGTGTACTCAACAACATGAAACATATAACGTTCTACCGATCTTGTGTTTTAAATAGCTTTGAGAACTTGTCGTTAAGAAAAGAAAATGTGGAGAATCCACTGATATGACAACTCGGGAGTTTATTAGGACTACTTGACAAGCCACTCAGATTACAGTCGAGTTTTTGGATTTTTCAAAACCGACTCTTCACAATAACAAGTTATATACTCCTACACTATACGTAATTATAATATATTGTAGTCCTTTAACTTCTAACGTTATGCAACAAAGTAGAAGCTGTAGATATCTCTTTGAGTTTACGTTTAGTTCCTTGACGGGACTCCGTTTCGAATGTTTGTATATGTTGAGTACGATGTTGATTACCAGTCATATTTATAGGTATTACTGAAAGGTACTGTAATTCTGTGATCCTAGTCCTGTTATTTCCCTCAGGCTCCCATTATCGCATAAAAACCATTTTCAGCATGCGACGATGACTTAAATAGTGCCAAAACCGCAATTTTTCATATTTCACTTTTAATCCTCAGAATACATCCTCACGTTGATATTAGTGCTTACAGGTGCGTAATGTATCATCGCATAACTGAAATAATTAGACTGCATTACAATTAAGGATAAATGAAAAATATTTAACGATAGACTTATGAAATTCAAAGACTTCGAAGGAGAGCTTGATGAAAAGGAGTGCCAATCGAGTGTTTGATTTTATTATGTTTTGAATTAACAAGCGACCATCACTAGACGGTTAACAGCGATTTATAATAATTAGGGGTATGACACTGATACACTATTATATTTGATTATTAATATTGGTATGTTCATTGAATATTTTTTAATTAACTATTCGTGCTGATTCGAATACATCGAAAGTTCGCGAAATTACATTTACACTCGAAGGTTGGTTAGTAGAAAACTCTGAGGCCTTCGTTGACGTAAAACGTAGAACGTGTGTTGATTTCAAGTACCACGTTGCTTCGTCACTTCTTTATGACAAACTATTTCTGTACAGTTTTTAAATTTATTAAGAAAAAGGAACAAGGAAACGTTATAAATATATATACAATATATAAAAACGAAATTGCCATTAAGATTTTTTAGGGTAGGGCTGGAGTCAGCTGTAATCGTCATCTCGATAAAAAGTATGTAAATGGCGACACAGAAGTAACTATGGTAATAGAGCGAAGTGAAATAAAAAATAATATAAATAGGAATATATTTGTCTATTTACCTCCTAGTATTTCAATAATATTTGAAATAGACATAGAGTAGGACTTAATGTTAGGATGAATTTAATCATTAAGTCGATTTTCAAACTCTTACGAACAAGACGCAAGAGGAGACTGGTTGAAAATTTTGTGAAATAACTTTAATTTCTTTAAACAGAAATGCGAGTTCTTAACTTTTCTAATCAGTTTGAGTTGCCCGGTGAAATCACCATTGTTGAGGAGCATTGAGAGGATACTAGCGCACCACAGATTCCGTGGTTACTCCTGGCGACTTTTTTTGCCGAAAGAGCGCAGAAGTGTAGTGTTCTGTGGAGTCAAAATGGAGTAATGTTGGGAAACAAGTACAGTAGTTGTGAGAAGGTTAATAGTTGGATCTTTCTGTATGTTCGTCGCAATCTCCTATTATTAATATTACATGAACAGTAATAATTAAAAGAATTTCACGCTCGCGGAATATTTAATGAATGAATAAATTGTTGAATGAATAAATACTATCGCTATAGGTGCGATTGGAGTTTGTAGATCAGTGTAAATAGCCTGTAATAAAATCTTTGACGTTGTTTTGCAATGTTATTTGCATAATTTTGTAATTATGCCACATTTTGTGGATTTTCGGGACAACAAAAAGGTATGTAATCCTGAAAATTTAATCGTAGCTTATAATATTTGCTATGTATCCCTCTGTATTGATTATGTTATATTTCTGGAAAGATTTATTGAGCGTTATTTGTCAGATACAGAATATGAATGATACCGCAGCAGAATTTCCATGTTTGAAAGCCTCTATTTTGCGTAAGGCATCAAATATATCTGGTGCGGTTGATCAAGTGACTATCGGACCTGATTCAGTTTTGAATAATACCAATACTACGTGGAGAGACAACATTGAAAATGAACAAAATGGTACTAATGTCAAAGAATTGTATTCTCCAAACATTCAAAATGTGCAAACTTCCACGACATCTACTGCTAAAATATCTACGAGTGGGATAACATTTTCTGTTCGAAAAATATTTCTTGAAAATGAAATCCAAAGGCGGGAGGAAGTTCGGGTAAGAGGCTAAGATTTCACGAATCATCACATAACAAGCATATTTTTCTGACAACTTTGTAATTTTCGATTTCTTTTCTATGCCCAAATAGAAAGCCATTGTACGTAGGTGGCAACAGATGGAGGAGTCTGAAAGGGCTCTCCAAGTGGAACTAGAAATATTGAAATCCACTATGGCCTTGAAACGAGCTCGCGAGGAAGCGGAAGAAATGGCTAAGCGTGAAGCAGAAGAGGCTCGCGTTGTTCAATTAACTGAGATTCGAAGAAAACACGAACAGCAGTTGAGCGCACAAAGAATTCAAGAACGTCAAGAACGATTGAGGCGAGAAGCAATCGAGCACATAAAACTTCAGAAAAAAAAAGAACTCACGGACAAAGTTGCTCCGTTTCATGCTGGTTTCTTGTCTAATTGCCAGAATATTGGTACATTATCGAAAAGCTGCAAGGACAGAAATGCTGCCGGTATCGCGCTATTAATGTACGCCACAGAATTGAATGAATTGAATTTACAAATGGAGGCGATCAATCAAAAAGCTCGTGTAAGTTCATAATCGTGAATGATCCGTATATGATTATCAATCGTTTTCATTGCCTCTGTCCTTTTAACACTACCGACAATTTTTTATAAATGTATTATTGGCTTTAAAAGGGTCAAATGACCCGTCGATGGTACTTTTAGTGTTAATTTACAGATGGGCGAATTAACTGCTGCGGGCGTCTGCGCGGCGGAGAGGATAGCGCAACAAAGCACTGAGATCTTGAACAATTTCAGATCTGAAATAGGTTGGTATACGCAATTACAATTATTGTATCGCATTATGATACAAACAATTTATGCACTTCATTTTAGAGCGATCGAATGAGTTGTGTGAGAAAGTTGGCATCCAGAGCTTAGGTCAACTACAACAACCCTACGAAGCACTAAACAATCCACAAGAATCTCAAGAGAAGATAACGCAACCTGAAGAAATATCGGAATCAACAATATTTCTGCCAGAAATAGAATTGAAAAGTCAAGAAAACCAAAGTGCTACGGTAACAGCGGCACAAGAGGGAATACCGGCACTGAACGAAACACCTGTCGTTGAATTGGCTTCAAACTTGAATTCGACAGCTCCTCAATTAGCTGTAAAAGAAATAAACGACAATGGACGAGATGTAACAGCTGAAGTAGTAGCGAATGTGGAATCAAATTCTGGTAAATATCGAAAATACGGCTTATGGCTTATTTATTTTCATTTAGTACAATGAAAACGTCTATTTGCAGCATATGATGTTCTGCAATTTGTTGATAAGGAATCGTTAAAGCTCTTCGTGCAAAGCCAAGAGTTTCTTGAGCATCACATGGCTATATATGCGGATTTACTGCGGCAAAGTTCATCTAAAGAGTTTCGATTCGAGTGTCAGAAGGCTATAAATATTCCGGTGAACGCCATTTCTGGTGTGAGTGGCGAACATTTAAGAGACAAGTATGAACGTCTTCAGCAACTGCTATCCGGAAAATTTCCAGGAAACGTTACTTCTCATCCGCAGGGAATCGCATATTGTAAAGATGTTCTTGCAAAAAAGATCGTGGTACGTATATGAAAGCAAATTGCTGAAATGCATGAAGACACGATCAATAATGTCTTGTACTTTTAACAGAGTCAAGGGGAAACCCTGATCTCGAGTAAGCCTGAGATGGCTTTTCCCGTGGCGGCTGTGGCCGTTGCTCTTTGGAATGAGCATCCGGATTTCGGTGAATTATTGATGGCACATTTTCACAAAACTTGTCCTTACACAGTGCCGATATTTCTTCCGCAACAGAAGGGTCAGTCGAACGAGGATTACTACAGATCTTTAGGATATAAGTACGGGGAAGATGGAACCGTTGAGAAACAAGATAAATACCTTAAAAGGATGTCGGGTTTGATAAGATTGTACGCCTCGATTATTGTAACGCGACAGCGACGCGGTGTAACAAAGACGCATCCGCATGGACTTCAAAATGCTTGGCGATGGCTGGCTGCTATTCTCAATATCGGTAAATTATTGTTGTTAGAGCTCTTGACTTGTGGAGAAACGGAGGAGACTTGTTTGCAACTTTCTCCTGTTCACAGAACCAAGACCTGATATGTCGGATGTTTGTGCTACATTATTACGTGACATGCTAGATGTTGCTGGAAGCGCACTTTGGAATGCCTATCCTAAGCAATTTATGAAGCTCTTGATGCTACTGGTGAATCAATATTACCCCCGTGTTCGCAATATGGGAGGAGTCGGCGGAGGTCCTATGGCAAGACTAGAAGAATTTTTGAAAAACAGTTTATCGAGAGGATCCATTCCAGCACCAGAAGGACAATTGGCTCCAAATTTTTGGTAGTTTAGTAAGTAACCTGATCAAGTGTATAAATTCACCAAAAAAATAATTTTTGCTGAAGTGTAAAGTAAACGCAGGTCGTGGATGCCCAAAAAATACGACTTTGTCTCATGGCGTAATTAGTACATACATTTTTTGACTGCGTGGTCACGCTCAACCACGGATGGTAACGAAATAAATTTATATTTATAGAAGGCTGTGCAGAGTTTGCCATATTTCATTTATTTATAATCAAAAAACTTTCTTAGCTAAATAACGATAGGAGTTCATTTCTCCAAAGAGAATGAACTGGTGATCGTGGAAACTTAAAATTAGTGGAAACGTTCGGGTGTGCTGAAGGAATGATTGAGTGGTGAACGAATGTCGTAAGAATTGTGAATTATCTCTAAGGTGTTTTCCTTGTGTTCTGAGCAGAAGTTAAAATTACTTCAAGTGATAGAACAGTGCATGTTATCGTTAGTCTCAAAATGGGCATTTTCATTATGAACTAAGTAACGTATTTAAAAATTAATTATGTTAACAATCGCTGTAGAATAAATAATCGAATAACAAGTTTAATAGTAACGGACGCTAGTAGCGACGTTGGTATCATCGAGCTTGTAAAGATCAGGGGAATATTCAGCAAATCCGGAAATCCCGTACGCTGACAGTCTTTCGGACCAGTCTTCATCCTTTTCGACACTCAGTAAATAATTAATTACCTTTTCACGGATAGTTCCTAGAAAAGGAAAAAAAGGTTCGTTGATAGTATTACGAAAATAATTATAATAAGTCAGCAAATAGAAGGATGTCCGTGTTCGGAAATCGATGATTCGATTCTCGTCACAGATATGATGTCACGCGATTACGTCAGCCTCTTCATCATTCTCTTGTTTTCTCGCGATTCGGTATTTCACGTGGCAATTGAAATTCGAGATATGTTAATTCGACAAGTTAAGCTGGCTATGTATTTTATTTAACTCTTCCCAAACGAGACAAAAAGATTAAAACGAGAAGAAGAGTTGCTGCGGTGAAAATACCTGATAGCGCTTTATTCATCATGATGGAATAAGGAGGCAGAGGACCCAGACTGGACAAAACATAGAGAGTGTTTACACCTGGTAGAGTATTCTTGTGACAATTTACGACGGGCGCTGCCAAAACACCAACCTCGACCTGCTTCCCCGCGACCATCTGCAGCGTCTCCAGGTGTGAACTCGTATCTGCAAGTATATCGTTTTTATTTTGTATCTCATTGAAAAAGATACTACGATCGAATTAATTAATGAGTCACCTAGTGTATTTCCAAAGAAGGCAGGACTCTCGCCCTTATTTCGTAAATAGCTGAATAAGAGCATCGCGGCGCCTGTTGCTTTACGCCTGTCTGGCAACGCGCATCTATGACCACGTAGATCCACAATATTCTGATAAACGAAAGTTCCTTAATTCTCAGTGATAAGATTCATTTTCAATAAAAATCTCATGAAAGTACCTCGACGTGGGCAGCCTGATCCGCAGCAACTATGACGTCAACATAGACACCAGGCACCTTATCTACATTCAGAAGATGATTAAAGACGAAGCTCACGGGTAGAAGTTCTCCATCTGGCCAATTCTCATTAGGCGGAAGAACAGCTAAAACAATCCAATTCACTCAATCAATTGTACTAGTGAAGAATGAAAAGTGTTTTGTCGCTGCATCCGGTTGCAACGTGGAATCGATCTTCCTCACCAATGTCAACAACGTCCTTGGCTACGGGTCTGTCGGTTCTAGGCTCGTAGACTATCACCACTGGCTTATTAGTGGCGGCCTCGATAGCATCGGCGAGAATCTCAAAAAGGCCAATAGAGAGCGATGGCACCAGATGAGTCGCCAGGACGAGCGGACGTCCCTCCAGGGCGGGTGGCGGAAGGGGTGGTCTCTTTCTAGGCACGGCTGCGTTAGCTGGCTTATAGGAATCCTCAAGAAAAAAAAGAAAGCAGCAACAGCTTAGAATTATCTTTTAAACGGGACAAGAGAGCACTGTGCCAAAGACGCGTTTCCGAAGGAGAGGGAGAGCGAAAGGACTGCTTCGCGATCCCCGAGTGATGACAACGGCTGCAACTCACCAGCCCCTGCTGAACTGGAATCTTTCTAGGTTTCTCAGGCTCCTCCACGGGCTGCTCGAGAAGGCCCTTGAGTGTCAGTTCCTCAGGAAGGGCTGGGCGGTCAATTCCTTTCACTTCATCAGTATCAGGGGCGCCAGAGCCATTAGACTCTTTTCCATGATCTTTGGCCTCGTTTGAATCTTTTTGGCTGGACGCTGTGTTGTTGCTGACAACGGATTCACTTGATGCCCTGAGATTTTCCGTGGATTTGACATCCTGCCCAGGTGTTCTCTCTTCCTTCTTAGGCAACGAGCACGAGGGATCCTTTGACACCGGAGAAACAAGCGTCGTGTCACCCGGCGCCTTGGCCTCCTTTGTAAGCGTCTTCGCCTTGCCACTTGGAATGGACGCCATTTCGCGAAATTAGCAGGACTCACTGAAAAGTCTAATTGAACGATATTCGCTAAAGCGTCACTTACGTTTGTAGGTAAATAAGTCTAAAGATTGTTTACAATATTACCACTTTAAACACTATTTGATATCACAACGGAGAACTCGCATTAGTACCACTGTATTGTCTAGTGCTTATCACCGTTATCGATATCGTATTTCGACTTTAAGTAACTCACTAGCATTTGACCCATTATACTTTCGGCAGTTGATAGAAACATGTATTATAGATAAAGACTTGGCACCAGTTGAAATCGCGATCGGCCGATGTGCAGTAGCGTCTGTTGTTTTTTTCCTGCTATTTATATTTCAAAAAATATTCAAGACCAGGAAGAATTGCCATTACATTACAATATAAGAAATCGGACCTTCTTCTTGAGAGAATCGTATAAAAGGAAGAAATCCTGGACGACAGGAAAACTATTTCGAACGGTACGAATTACGTAAATGAAAGACTGGTGGCGAACCTATCGATTGAATTGTAGATTCCTCTGGGCCCAAAAGGAACAAGTAATTTATCCGAAGATCCGAAATAGTGGCACACTTACTTGTCGGTTCCTCTCCTGCGGATAGTGTGAATCGCGGGTTCCTCTTGAATTACTTAGTGACCGTCACCAACTACCGCTGACTATCGCCGACTATCCGGTATAAGATGTTGGGCCAGCACTCTTCCCTAGGTACTACGTGAACAGCAGTGGTTATGAAAATGCAGACAAATATATCTGTTCGTATTAACCGTATTATCTTCATTCGTCTGGCGCGTGATGGCTGCGTGTTCTTGAAAGGCAAGGCAAGTGGAGAATAAGAACTCTACGACATAGGGGTTTTCAACGTGGTGGGAATCGGTGTCGGCGTCGATGTCGCCGGCAATACGATTCTGTGTAAACTCGATTAACAACAGGGAACATTACCCCTCGAACGCTATCGTCAGTAGAGCAATATTTGGCAAGCATGGCGGATTAGTTTATATATATTCTAGAAGGCGCTAGGAACGAGTAGCGCCAATTCTCTTTTACCGTAGGTCGATAATTCGCAGCTACTCTAGTAAGTCCCGTGTCGCGCTGTTGTCGCATGTTGCTATACGCGTATTGCGTGTCGCCAGCACTGCAAACGGACGAAAGTCCCACCGACCTGGAATAGTAGGGAGAACGGCCGGTGAAGATCTCGCCCGGACGCATCACTCGCGCGCGTCTCACTCCTCCTCTTCCTCTTCCTTCCTTTGAGATTTCACGTGACTTTCACGGATACGATAGTCGGACAGACATTCGCCGATCTCATTATTTTCCCTTCTTTTTTCATTGGTTACAATGTCGCCGGATTCAGGCTTCTCTTTGTTTGTGAATCCTCTGATTTGATTGCTCTTTTATATTTATTTCTTGTGATACTTTTTCGCGGAGTTCACAAGGGTTCCTTCCTTGTGCGAATGTGATATTTTGAGAAATCTACAAAAGCACCATTCGTCAGTCGTGGTACTGATCTTCCTTGAACCGTGACGGAGAGATAAATATGGTGAGCGCTAATTGGCCCAGGATGCGTCTCTACTCGTGGCATTGACGCAATGCGTGAATTTAACGCGTAATAATGAAATCACTGAGTGGCATCGCGTCAGTGGGGGAGATATCTCGATTACTGAGTTACACAGAGGACGGAAGTAAATTCTGCCTGGAGGCAACGTGTGACCATCGAAGAATCTATTTGACAAGAAGTGCATTTTCTCAGCCCAGGAGACGTTCCCTCGAAATCCTGAGGATCCCAGTAGGCGGGAATTTCAATAAAGAAATAAAAAGATCCTTTCCAAGTAATCCAGTTTTTCCTCGTAATTTTCCCTGATATCTCAAATTCAATCTAAAATTGAAGAATCCTGCACGATGCCCGCAATGGACACCAGAGAGAATCGCTCCTAATGCATTTATTATAAACTGAAGATTTTCCAGGATCCGCTCCTTCTCGCGATACCCCAAGGTAACTGTCGAAGTCGTGGTTCGCATGGCGTTCGACTTAATGGCCGGTATATTTCCGTTGATGAACTCGACGCAATGAGTTACTCACTTGGACTTTGTCCTGCGAACACGATATCCTTCGACATCTAACTGGTCCCCCGTTCGAAGAGCACCTTGGCTCACTTCGATTCAGGTTGCTCGACCAAGTTACTCCTCCTGCAGCTTCGGCACGTTTAAACGTTTAATCTAACCTTTCCTATCCTCCTCTCTTTCACTCTTTATGCATCCCTCGTATGACAAGTTCACGTCAATTAGGATCCGAACGAGCAGTCAACTTCAAGACGAACGACAATCCTTTCGCATCGCCGTCCAATTCCATTCGAGAGCTCATAAAATTGCTCAAACGATTCTCCACTCTCTCGATCCTACAACAGACAGACACGTCCTTCCGTGAGGTCTGCTCCCTCGTTCTCGCTGATCGTTTCGAGGAAGCCTTTGGAGAAGACAGGTCGCCGCGAGAGGAGCGTCTTCGCGAAGGTGGCTGCCACGGAGGAAAACCGGAACCGGCAAGTAGGTCACTGTCAGCAGAGTGGTTGCCGGCACAACACAGAATCCCGGCGATACGGCGAGTGGCTCGTTAGACTTGACTCGGACTCGAGTCGAGCGAGGCTTTCAGAGTTGACGCGACAGCGGACTCGAAGGAACTGGCCGAGTCCCGGCAAACCGTCATTCTTCGCTCCTTCCTCCTCCTTTCTAGCTTCCCTGGCTGCCTGCTTGCCTGCTGCTTGCCTGCCTGTGATTCAGTGCCTGCCTGACTGCCTGACTGCCTGACTGCCTGACTGCCTGACTGCCCGACTGCTTCACTGTCTTGCACATCGGTCATCGTCGTCATCATCATCGCCACCATTGCTATTATCATCATCATCATCATCATCATCATGGTCATCGGCTTCGTGACATCGACACTCGGTCGGTCAGCTGACGTCATCCCTTGGATGTCGTCATAGACATCACCTAGATGAGAATTCTAAGTCGAGAGTTTAATCCAGGATGCGCTCCCACTCGCGATGGACTCTTCGCTCTTCTCGAGAATTCCGATTATTATGAGTTCATAGAACGAAACTTGAAAAATATAACTCCTCAGTCTTTTTCTTTAAAGTTCTGATAGACATTTAAGGATTTCACGTTGGCACTGCTGAACTCTACCGGGGCAATCAAGTGACAATAGAAACGTGACGCTTGTCTAGCTATACACGTATAAGTCACACTAACGAACCTCGTGCACGAACCTCATAAAAGGTAGATAATAAGCTTCTTAGGATTTTTCAAAATATTTCTCTCCGAATATCTGGGAACAACAGTAGCAGTCTATAGGTATCTGTCTTAGATCCGCTGAGAATCGGTAAAGTCAAGCTTTAAAAGTATTTCCGGAAGGCGCACGATTTGCAGTTCAAGAGAATCCAGGTACAGCTCTCTTGAAGTAACCAAAGCCAGCGGTGGAGAGAAATAGGTAAATAAAAAGAAGAATGAGATAAAAAAAGATAGAGAAAGGAGAAGAGAAACGATGCTGGCAACCGCTATATTTAGCCGGAGATACTTCGAAGAGATCTGAACGTGTCCGAGTGTCACTGGCATACCGAAGTCCCGAGGCTCGCGAGACTGAAGTCGATGTTGTAATCGAGTGGTGAAGTTTTTGCCTTGACCGAGGCCGCGTCGGAATAAGGCGAGACCAGGCAGGACAGGACGGAGAAGACACGTTCCCCTGGCTGCTGGTCGCACCCTGATCAGACTCTGGCCAAATTTCTAGAAGATCTTTGGCTTTTACCATGAGGAAAGTCCACTCGCTGAACATCGTGCTACGTCGGTGTCGGTTTTCCGAACGGCGTTGGTCTTCGATTCGAGAAATAAAGTCAAGTCGATCGATTGAGACCTTTTATTTTCCCGTTTGTTGACACGAATGCAGTCCGAGAGCATCGAAATTGCTTTTCGGATTCCAGCTGGTGAATCGAACGACCTCGCCAAGGTAAGTCTACGTGCACTGGCCCTCGCGGAGCCAGCCGACGATCAGTGAAAAGATCTTGCCGAGGTAGAGGATCTCTAGAAGGAATGTAATCCAGGGTGGCGAGCAGGTAGCGCAGTCTCGAGTCTACTCTTCGCCTCGTGGTGGTTAACCTGGCCCAGAAAGCAAGCCGGAACTGCCGGAGGAATCAATGACCTTGGGACGGCGAGTGCGACTCGCAAGCCAAGAGTAGCGGCGCTCCGGAGTGGCAGAGGCGACCGACGTTCGACGCCTCGCGAGATCAAAGAATAGAGACTCTAAAGAAGAAAGTTTCCTCGGCGTCGCGGAAGAGGCGAGGGGGTCAAGTCTGGTGCTTTCTCGGATCCCGGACCCGCAGCCAGTAGATTGACAGTAGATTGCGTAATTCAGGTCCGGTATGTCGCTGCCAGCGAGACTCAGGACGGTCGCGCGTTGCGATGTGTGGGACGCGAGCGAGTGTCGTTTGAATTTGCAATTAGCGAGAGCCCAAAGGTATGGTCGTGTGAGAGGGACCTCTGGCAGATTCAGCAGCTACTGGCCTAGCGTCCCTGGAAACGATTCTCCTTATTCCGGAATGATGATCAATCTACGAGGAAACGCCGGCCAGTCTTTTTCCTCGATTTACTCAATGTTCCTTCGTTGCATCGTTTTTCATCGACTCTCCGCGAAAGAGAATCGTCCGAAGAAGCCGGCTGCGAGCCACGACTCCCGCTTGACTACCGGATCTTTCCGTTTCCCGTTCTCGGCCGGTCAACGACGCAACTTACTTTTATTTACCATGGCCGTGCCGATTTCACTGGAGGGGCCAGGCCGGATACGAGCGATCTTATTAAAACGCATAGCCCCGACACTCATGGCTAGAATTTTAAAATAGTGCTCGCTACCACTACCTAACTAAGTACCTATTCCAGTCCGATGTACCGACGACTCCGTTAGTTTCCTGCCAGACTAGCCGCTAACGAGATCGTGCACGAATCTTCGAATGGCAACGCTCTTCCTGTTGAACGCTGCGTCTCCCACCGAAATCCGTCCATCGCGCACTTGGCGTCTTTCGTTCGATAAGACAATCTCATGGAGATTGTCTCGCCCTAGACTCTCCTCACCTTCGCTCCCAGAATTCTTCCTTGTAAATTCTAAATGGGTACTGAGACCTCTTATATTCTCATGGCAGCATCATTCCTGAGCTCGGCAATCGGGACAACAGAAGCAACCAGTAACAGTGGCAATGGCCGTGATACATTCGGTAACAGGAAGACAACGAATATTGCAATGTTAGAGGAGAGAACGAGTTCTCGATTCGACCGAAGGAGTAGGAGGATAGTGAGCGGCGGTAGCTTCGTCCTGCGAAAGAAGGAGAATCGTCGGCGTCGAGATCGCGTCCAGTTTGGAAGGGGCATTGCACACTGGAATGCGGGCGGGCCTTAGTCGACTGGCAACAGCTCATTCATGCCACCTGACTTACGTCATTCTACCTACTGGCTGCCTACTGGCCGACACGCATACATTCCCGTAACTCCGTTATTGCCTTTGGATAGCCAAAATGACAAACTGCTAAGGCAATCAATTGGCGAACCTATAAAAAGATTCAGCTAATGTTTTAGATGAAGTTCGATCAGGTTCTCCATTTATTTTCGTATTCCATCCGCGATCGCACATAGCGTAGAAAGCAAAGAATCCGCCATTTCACATTGGCAGATAAGTTCAGAGACGATGAAATTCAAATATAAGTAATTGCAGTATAAGCGCTGCAAGTGCAACGCTATCGTATCGTGACAATTATTTATGTCGGGTGCATTGACATTAGAACTGCTAATCTAGGTTTGTCACGATTGCGTCACTTTAGAGAACTTTAATGTTTACTGCGATTCCTGCAATTATGTTAAACGAATGTGACGCTTGAACACGAGCACAGTGAATCATTCCTCGTCTTTTTATTTTCGGTTTTCCAATCGTCGAAAATGAAAGTTCTTTAAGGACATGTAAAAATATTTTTTACCGTATCTGTCAGCTTCTAGAAAAAAAAAACATGGTAAAAATTCTGTTTGGATACTTGTAGTCCAAATTTAATTAACGAAGATGATATTCTACGATTCTTGCGTCCGTTTGAAAAAGTGATGTAGAAGGTTTCTCTCCGACCACTAAAGAGAGCGCTGGAGAGAATATGTGATTGACAGTTTGCTCGTAAGAAATAGTGTTAACAGGCGTCGTTCAATTTGGATAGTTATCACCCGTGAGGAGCAAGCTTTCCTTCGTAAGAATACCGTGGCGCAGAAGGATTTGCATGTGTTTACAAAATTGAATAATTTATCGAAGCAGATCTTGAGTATGATGGTCAGGAGAAGGAAGGGAGTGATGCAAAGAACGTTGGGTGAAGTGTTAAATATGAATAGCGACCCGTGAGAATGCTCACACGTTCATCTAGTAGGTGACATACAGCTATGTAAGGACAGGGCAGGACAGTAGCAGGATTAGGACCAGGTAAGGAATAATCGCGGTTAATTTCTTAAATTTGCTGCGAAAAATCATGAAGTTTCGTAATATGATGCTTTGATCAGGCGCCCTCTGTGAGATATAAGCGTCACTTCTTACGAGAACAAGAAACTACATCCGCCTGTCGAAGGATACGGTACAAGTGAGATATTATTGCTGAGACAGTAGTAGACAGTTATTTTTATTTGCATTTTGAGATGAAACTCTGTTGTATTTGCGAGAAATCAGACTCAGTTTATAAGTGTCCTACGTGCACGCAACCATAGTAAGTTGTATTTACGATTCAGTGAAGTGTGAGAAATCGATGCTGCTAGGTTATAACTTGACTCGTTTACAATGTGTACATGTTTTGCTTAGTTGCTCAGCGGTTTGTTGTAAGGAACATAAAACGATAGGATGTCATCCGTCATTGGAAGTTAGAGAGAATGAATCGCAAGTAGAAATACCACAGAGGGTGTATGACTTTCCAACTGAAGATACTGTACCGCCAGAGAAACTTGACCAACTTCGTTACAGCGAGCAGCTTAAAGATAGTCTCAAGAATCCACACGTTCGACAAATCATGACGTCTATTCTGAATGATCCAAATCCTACAAAAGCTATTGCTCTTGCTATGACTGAACCAATATTCATCGAGATGGCTGATGCTTGTCTCAGAGTTGTAGAACCTCCGGTTGATAATAAGCCGTGTTAACATAATCAATAACCTAATTTTTATATACATTATAGTATATTTATAACTACAGTGAAACTTATAAAGCCTGATGCAAACAACAACCAGTATATCAGCTTATATATAATCAATTTATTAAGGAAGAATACAAAGATCGGCTCTATTCCGTCTTCTATTTTTGTGAAATTTATAAAATTGAAGGAAAAAACAATTATTTGAAAAGTCTCACGTGCCATAGTCTTACATCATGTATTAAAAAAGAGATGAATTGATCAATTAATTAATTTTCTTGAATAAAACAATTTGTTGTCACTAAATTGATCACACTAGTGTTCCAAATAAAAACATATTCTCTCACAATTCAGAACGATGAGAATAATATAGCAGGATGTCATTCGGTGTCTGCGCTTGGTCCAATTCCTTTCCCAGGGCATGATACCTTTTTCTCACATGATGTGCCACCATTTTTGGTTGTCTGTCCCTGGTAAATATTCCTTTTTTATTTCCGCCAACCCTGGTATACGCTATAATCGAGAAAGTATGAATAAATTTCTCTTTTCAAAACGCTGTTATAAAAAAAAAAACTAACTTTGTGCTGTCCGAAAATCCGCAAAATTCCATATAAATTCGCCAATGAAGAATCCTTGCAATCTGAGATTATCGAAAGCTTTAAAGTGCTTTGAGAACATCTCAGTTTGATATTCCTCGCTCCAAACGTAACCCGGCAACTAATCGTGGATTAAAAATATCATAGATATTATTTTAACTAACTGTCATTGAAGATAAATAATGCGTTATTATTAATGTGTAATCAAGATGAGCACCTCATGTAGTCCCGGCATCGTATCAGCTCCGTACTCTGACATAAGAACTGGCTTGTCATATTTCCTGTGCCACGCCTCGGCTTCAGTCTGGACGCGATCCACGATCATGTCAAGGTTGCCGGTATTAGAGTACCAGGAGTTGTATCGATTAAAGCTGATAATATCGAGAAATTTGCCGGCCTTGTCCTCCTGTTAAAATACAATCGAGTCATATGGCTGCATTGTGAAAAACTCGCAGCCTTTGCAAAGTTACCTGAACTCCCCGTGCTAGCGCTATAGTCACCGGCCTCGTCGGATCAAGAGATTTCGCATGATGTGCTACCTGTTTGAAATATTCTTCCGCGTCGGGCAACTGACTTCTAGGTTCATTCGCGAGTGACCAGATTATCACTGAAGGTCGATTTTTATCTCTCCTAATGAGCTCCGACAAGGAGTTTTTATGTTTCCTCAGCAGAGCCGGTGAGAAATTCTCTGCATCGACGGATGGACACTCGTCGATAATGAGGAAACCCAACCTGGACAAATTGTGGATGTGTTCCGCATGCGATAAGTTGTCAGGTTGTCAAGTTGTTGATTTGAAGGGAACGTCGAATTTTTACCACACCTGTCAGCCATATCAAGGACTTCATCGCTGTAAGGATAATGACTTGTTCTGTATGCATTGGCGCCGACCCAGTCTAATAGTTCGTAATCCCTAGCCATAGTAACCAAATCCAATCCGCGTCCTCTGATGACGGAATCCTCGTGTCTCCCAAAGCCACGCATGTAAACTGGTCTATCGTTTAGTAAAAGGCTGGTGTTTGTCCATACCAAGGTCCTGATTCCTATGGGCAGTCTATAAATATCCTGCTGGCTGTCATTCTCGACAGAAAGTCTCACCTGAGAAAGTCAGCGTCGCATTGTCAGATGTATATATTCCTCGATATGACATACCATGTATTTAGATAAACAATTACCTCAAGAGTGTAGAGATAACCAGGATTTGGATCCATGCCTCTTGGCCACCACAATCTGGCCAAGGGAACCTCCAGAGCACCGGATATGGCGTAAACTGGTTCCTTCGTGGCTAAAGCTCCTTCGGCGTCTCGTAGAATCACTTGACAAACTGGGACTTCGTCCTCGCGCAAACCTGCTGCTTCGATCACGTAGTTCACTATACCAGTGTCGCCAACTAATTCCGTTTTCACGGATATGTCCGCCACATAAACCCTGGGCTTTGTGTGAAGGAGCACCGGTCTGAAAGTCCAAAGCACCGGAGTTCAAACGGCTTAATTCGTATTTAGCTAAAATACGGCGAATTAAAAGCCTACGTTCCAGACTCCAGATACCTATGGATTCCGGCGTAATTGAAGAAGTCGAAGGTGTAGCTCTGCACGTGCTTAGTGCCACTGTCCGTTGTAACCTGGACGACCTTACCCTGAGGAATACTCGTCTGCAAGAGGGTGTTATCCACGGCCACTGTTATTCTATTCTGCTCTCCGTATTTCAAGTACAACGAGACCTCAGCCTCGAACGGCAAATGGCCGATCTCGTGATTGGTCACAAGTGCCCCGTTTACCCACTATGGATTAACCGCATCAGTTCATAACTTTTAGTTTTACGCACTTGCATCAGTTCTCTGTTGACACCAGTAAATTGTACTGACCACCTGTGCGAGGTAATTGACTGAGCCGAATCTCAGGAAAACTCTCTGATCGATCCAGGAGGTAGCCACGAAGAAGGTCTTCTCGTACCAGACGGCCCCAACGTGGTCTCTTATCGCCGATGAGGTTGGTATGTCGTTGTAAGAGGAGGGGACGGGCATTTGAATAACTTTGCCTGCCTGAAAAAAATTCAACCTTTTCATTGATGCCCCGACAAGATGATTTTAACTTGCATTATTTTACCTTCGAAAGTTCTTGGGCGTACCAGGCTTCCCGGTGACCCTTCAACGTGTCTTCGGAGGGTGACACCATGAAATCCCACAATCCGTCGAGGGACTTGATCTACTCGTCCAATAGAAAAATGATGGATTAATTTTGACAAGAGCGAAGCCAGATGAGAGGTGACCTTACTTCGCGTGACTCGCTCTCCCGAGGAAAGAGTAGGCCCGGAAGGGGAGTCGGGGATGGGTCTTCCGGTAGGAAGATGTTCCTATCCATCGGACTTTCTTCAGTGCCAATGAACCCAATGTCAGCAGTCAGAACTGTTCCAACCAAACCCAGGACCGCTGTCCACGTGACTCTCGTATTATCCTAACGAAAAGAAGTTCAGTAGAACAACAAGTACTTATTAGGACGATCGCATATAGTCCTACAGTTTCAAATCAGCGCTCGGATCGAGCATACAATCGCTTTGGTTACTATGCGACTATTTATACTCGTGAAGCTCTAGGAAGCTGATAAGAACGATTCTCGGATATTACTTCTTTTTTTACGAGAAACTCGAGCCTCTGTATTTGTATCCTCAATAGGCAGCATTCTATTCCTATTCCGTTAACTTTGTAACATTTTTTTTTAACGGGCAGATATCTTTAGAAATATGTCAATATCAGTCTTAGGTTATTTCAGAGAAGGTTATGTCCGCTCAGACGTTATTATATGAATATTTTCAAATTTTAAATTCGTCGATTTACCTTTAGCGTGAAATTCTCGGCTTCGAAAACGTACATTTTAACCTTTTTACCAAATTTACCGACATTTGTAGAGTGTGCCGAACGAATTAAAAGAAGAACGATGCTTTCACGAAGGTTCGTTCTGTGATGCTAGTAGGCTAGCTTGGGCGTTCGCGTCGCGTGACATAAGATGTGCCGGTCGAGCGCAGCAGGCTGCTGCGTTATCGGCCAGTTATTCGCAGATAAACATTACGTGTCCCGAGTTCCTTTGAATTTGACTAAAAGTTACCGGCTGAGAGAATACGAAGAATATCGAGCAGTGAATAATCGTGCTATGCTATTTGGGCCAATATCACGCTTCCTGTCTTCTAGCCCCTCGGGCCCTCCTGTGTCCTGCAATCAGTGCCTTATTATTCTCTATGCCCTCTGCCCTCTGCCCTGTGCCCTGTGCTATGTGCTATGTGCTTTACGCACAACTTGCATGGAATCTGCAAGCGACAGCTGCGCTCTTCAACGTCTCTATTCGAGCTGATTCTTATCTTGCATAATAATTACTACGTTTTGTTTAAATTACAACTTTAGTAATTTACTTGTATTCTCCTGTGAACGTACTTTCCCTGTATGTCATACTAGTTGTGTATACTAATTGTGGACGCTAAGAGAACGCTTGTAAAGATTCAGTACTGAGGTCAAAATTGGCGACTAGCGACTCGCCAATCCTCTAGGAAGTTCATGCAGAATTCTTATAGCGGTAGAAAAACACGCGAACTCTTCGCTCGCGTAACTCGCGCAGTCCAGCTAGGAACTTCTCGAACTGCTACGGAAAAGCCTGAACGCGAGAGGAATTACGTTCGACAATCGAAATAACGATAACGACTGCGGCAAAAGTTCGATAAGAGACATTGAAGGGTTGCCGCAATAAATAAACAAGTTTCTCAAACTCCGTAATACGGAAGAAGCCGTCGCAGCTTCGAAAATCGCTGAAAACGCATGGATGAATCTTTATCGGAATTTCCAAATAATTTAAATTCGCCTGCCAACTTACCGGAAGCATGATCGATCAGATTGCGCCTCTTGAAATTCCAACGATCTCCGGCGACTTCGACTTGGCAAAAATCTTTCCTTCCACCGGTCGCTGTGCTTCCTCCTTAATTGACGGAGGCACTTTTCATTTTAGCGGTGACGTTTCTCGCTATCAGAAGTTCAAATAAACCTTATTATTGCAACTGGCACGGGATGATGTTCGCTCATCGAGGGAACTTACACCACTAGATGAGAATGAGTTACCTATCCCATCCGCACTGAAGCGTTGTGCCAGGCTGAGTCTCTTATATAGGGTGTCCATAAACGTATCCAGTTAGCTCGTTATCGTGCTCAGTAAGGAAAACAACGTACTGGGCTCAAGCAGTTTCCTTTATAAAACCAGTTTTTTCTGAAATATCAGTCATGCTTAAGGGGACCGGGATGCGTGTGATAACTTCCATACGAAATATCGTAATTTTTTTAAGATAGTAAAAAGTTATACGATCGCCGCGCATACATATTTTTGCAGACTGCATTTCGTTACTTACATCAGATTTTTATACGTTGTGACTCGTTAATCATTATGCGAGTTGGATGCAATTTTTGACTTCGCAATTATTCCTTTGACATTTCAGTAATCGAAGAGCTTCCAAGAATTGCGTGGAATTTTAAATTTTCGTGATTTGACATTCGAGGTGACCTTTGACCCTGTACAGGCCCCTTAAGGAAACTGTTGTAGTAACAAAACAAAAAATAAAAGCGATCAACCGATAACGTTCCTTCCCAGTGGCATTTCGGCTCCACCGTTACGAGCCAAAGAATCGTATCCCAGCAATCATACACTTATGGGTGGGATCGAGGATCTAAGATCGAAAGACTGACAAACAACAGCAAAGACACGGTATGCCAGATATGTACATTATGGATTTTGTATATTGGCTGAGAATTAAACGGGTGAACCAGAGATAGTACACGAAACGTGATATAACGAAGTTTTTCCGGAATAATCGACGACGGATTTTTCACGTTTCAGGCTAATTTATGCGTGTCGATATCAGACATCGAGTTTCTTCGAATTGACTTCCTTTACGAGCAAAACGTGCCCAGAATTCTTATCGGCAGAGCCGATAAGACCTCTTATGACGCTGGCTCAGTCGCAAAACCTACGAGATAGCCAGTTATCGCGGTTGACAAAGCCGATTTCTTCCTTAACAAAGTTTAGATCAAAATTAGACACAAAAACATGATCTTTCGTCTCTCATGCTCGTCTCGTTCCTCGGGATACCCCCCAGAAGATTCATGGCCGACGGGATTGCTAATTTGCGAACCGGCTTGGCCGATCAATAGGGGATCGACCTGGACCAATTTAGGAGACCAGTTGGATCCACCTAGAACTAACGGGGACTCTGTGGCCCTTTTCCACGACTCTCGTTCACACTGACACAGCGAACCAGCAGGTTGATTCATTTGGTCAATTGCCCTACCGGAGCCCATGCTCGTACGTAATATATTCGCTGGGGTAGAAGGTGCTCTTAGAAGCGAACACCCGATGGAAGAAGAGTTCGTTGCACTCCTGGAATCTTATACCGATTTACGATGCAAACTAGATGCACCCAAACAAACACAGCTTCTGCACAGTGCAGAATTGCTGATCAGTGATCTGATCTCCTCGTGAGGGTTGCGGAATTCACTCGAGTGGAGCTGTAAGGTTTAGCGAGGCGTCTACTTCTTTTGACGCTTCGCTAATTCCGCCAGCTGACGAGCTCGTTCGAAAGTTCGTGAAAGAATCTGATTCTACCTTATCGATCAGGAATGACTTTAGTTACCAACTGGCCAATCAGAGATCATTCCTCTGTGGCGAAGAAGATTCGTGACACGAGACGTAGGAGGTTAGCTTTGGCTACTCGCGTCAAGCAGCAGGGACTACGTTCACGCCGTGCGGGTTTTCCACTCCTCCCTGATGCTGCACGTAATCGGGCAATCCTACTTGAGTAAATGCTGCACGACGGAACCGTAGTGAATACGGCTCCAAGACGGAACACTGGCATCCAGCACGTGGCGCCCATCTCGGAGAGAAGCCAAAGTTTCACCAGTCGGTTACACCGCCGACTGCTCGTCCTCCGACCGAACCTTTCGCAGAATGGGGAAGAGCCATTCCCAGAGCCTCGGAATTCTCGAGCAGCCTGCGAGTAGCTCGATCTGACGACAATCGGACGACTCGGAGACTCGAGGAAAGCTAAAGCTAAAGCTAAAGCTAAAGCTAAAGTCCATTGGTCGGACGAGCTCGAAGGCTACGCTGCTGGTCGATTGGCAAAAAGGCTCTTGACCGTTGCCAGACTTGGATGGAGTTCAGCAGCCTTCCTAGCAATCAGTGGCTTCCGGTGTGTCGCGTCTGCCTCTGAATCATTTTGATACTCGTGTATCAATGCTTTCGTGCTGCGCTTTGTTTCCAATGTCCTGCGCGCGCGCTGCATCGGCAATCTGCGCTGCGCTGTCGCTTGCCTTTTATGGAAAGACTCCGCACTGCTAAAGTAGTCGGGCTTAACGAGTCATTCCGCAAGATCGTAAAGATCCGCCCTTTTAAAAATGTGCTGGTTCTCGAAGCTGGAGAAAAGCAAAGGCGCCGATTGTCGGTAACGGCGGCAGATTCCCTCGATGGTTCTCCTGCCATTTCTTGCTTCCGGATGTCCTTCGAGCGCTGAGAAGGACTTCCGGCGGGGCTCGAGAGGCAAGAATCAGGAGGTCCGAAGGAACTTGCCGTGAAAATCGCTCGATTGGATCTTGGAGCGTGTTTCCGGTTTGTGTCCAGCGCCCACACTTTTGTAGGCAGGATGAATCCATCGCGGGTTATCTTGCCCTCGAACGGACTTTATCTTGCGGGAAGCTGCTGGTCGTTGGCCCACGGGCTCCAGCGAGTGCCGGTTTAATGACCATCGTAATGACTAGCCTGGTTGGCCCATAAAGACAACAGAGAGAGAGAGAGAGAGAGAGAGAGCCAAGGCAGTCGGAAATCATTGCAGCTTCCTCGAGTGCCGTTTTCCAGTCCTTCGGCATTTGGCCTTCGCTTCTCCAGCCTCGGAGTTTCTTTGGCGACTCCTGCACCATTGTGCAGAGTGTTGCGTCAAACGCACGTGCCTTTAATCTAACATATCGAAGCCGGCTGCAGGTTCGATTACGAGAACGTGCAGAGGGTGGATTTCGAACGTAGGAGTCATTACGGACCAGGTGGCCAGACTCTCAGACGCTGACGCATAGGCTGGCCTGTCCAAGAACGACATGGCCTGGTTCTCTTTATTCCGGCAGAGGAGAAAAAAGTCAACTATGAAGAAAAAGTGAAGCGAAGCGAGGGGAAGCGCCCCGGCGGTGGCGGCCGAGCGGAGGGTGAGGCCATTAAATTCATTCTCGTCAACGGTCCGTATGAATTTTCCAGGAGTTAGTAACCCCGTCTGGCCGATATGCTGCCGTCGGCCCCTGTCGCTTCCGAATTTCACGAAACGAATTCTCCGCTGACGCAAATGAGAAAATTCGCCACAAATTTACAGGAAAATGCAAGAATGCCAAAAAAAGGAAGAGGGACGAAAAGGAGATTGTAATGTTCCAGGGGATAGAGGAACAGTGTACGCGGACGACTCGAGTCGTTCGAGCGTTCCCGACTCCCCATAGTCTTGGCGCGTGGGTGGCCCCGAGAGAGAAGATCCCAGCGAGGTGCGAGAGCGAGAGGACGGCCAGAGGCTAAAGAGCGAACGAGAGGAGGCAGGACAGGCGCGGTATAGGAGTGGCGCGGCGGAGCGGGAGCGGCCAGGAGAGGGCAGGAGAGGGCAGGAGAGGGGGATCCCAACGGAAGGAACGACAGTCGCGCGGTACGCGGCGCATCGCACGCATGGGCCGCGCCTGTGTCTCCATCATCGCCGTTTTCTGTGTCTCACGACTATCCTCGCTTTGCCCTTCCGCTCCGCATTTGCAGTCTCATTCCCTATTATTCGAATTTCCATAACTCTTGGTCCCCTCTTCCGGATAGGTCGCGCGCAACGTACGTTCACTGATCAAGTTGACAGGTCGTTCCGGCAGCGATCAGCCTCTGCCGTTTTGTACCGTGAAGGAACCGGTTAGTCTTTGGTCACATTAGTTCCAATAAAGAGGAACACTGGGAGGAACAGAGCCTCGCCTATCCGATGGAATATACATACCTTGTGATGGTTCAGTGACACGAATCCCCTTCGATCGGCAAATGATTTAGGAAGTGACAGGTGTCGCGGCTCGGATTGACAATTCTTGATTCACGTATGTAAACCTTATTGGCTACTGAGTTTTCAGGGAATTGGAAATTTCGACTCGAACGACCGAAGCTGATTGCAAAGGAGAAAATCGAGGTAGGAGGGCATGTCCTCGGGGGAATTGTCGGTTCTTCGTGTCTCGATTCCAATTGCTGGAAATCCCATCGGTATTCGAAGAAGGAAAACAGCTGAGCAAAGTCCTCGAACTTTATTTAATTTTTGCTGCCTCGCGACAGGCCAAACTAGCGAGGACAGGAAGGATCCGGCTAGAATATGTGCATCGAGCATTCGAGTTTACTCTCTATTGACACGTAGAACTTTTCACGCTAGGTGTATTAGCATATTGAACGAATTATTTGCATTTGGCGCAGATAGCAACAGGACGGAATAGGAATAATGCTGGGAGGACAAAACGGGCAAAACGGGCAAAACGGGCGCCGGTACACCTGATAACGGATCGGCAACGGTACCTCCCTCCTTTGCTCGGACCCCTCGGAATCGCGTCAATCGAAATGCACGCGTGTGTCCATTAACTCGCCGGCACTCGGCATGTGCTCAGTATCCAGGGCCCTGAGTCACGATAACAATGCGATATACATTGTACACCTATCAATAGCGGCTAGTGGCGCATTAACCCAAGCAGCCTGAAGCCGACGACACGAGGCGTCGCCTGACCGCTCGCTGTTCTTTCATGAATTTTCTTTCTTTCTTTCCACGCTGCGACTTATCTTCCCATTATTTACTCGAGGAGGCAATCTTCCCTGATTCGTGTCAATGGCTGATATCTCCTTCCCCTTGAGAGACCTCTCGGCAAATCGAGTGCTTTACTGCTTTCAGGGATTTCGTCCCCAAGTCGATCCCGGAGGATCAAATCAGCCAAGAGGAGACACGGAGCAGCGCTGAGGAATTTGGCAAAGATTATCTGATCGAAGAAATTCTTCGAAAAAGAAGATTCCCTCTGGCTGTGCCGAATCGTATCGCGACTCGAAACCAACTTACGTGAATTTACAAGAATTTACAAGAATTTACGAGGAATCGTCATCATCCGAGAACGAATGGGAGCGAGATAGCGCCAGCTGCGTCATCGTGGGAGCCAATTCTTTGGCATCGAGGAAAACCCTCTCTCCCTCCTCCCTCCTGCCCTCCTTCCCTCTTCGTTTCACGTGCGTAAACCCGCACTTGCGCTTTCACCATCTCTCTTCCACTCGCTCTCTTTTCGTCTTCCTCTGTCGGGGAGAAAGCAATAACACGATCAGGCGAATTCAGGCGAATTCGAATCGGAAAATTAATTTCTCGCGTATCGAAGGAAAATCCAGCCCACGGCTCAAACCAAGAAGATTCAAGATCCGTGCTGTCAGCAGGCTAGACTACAGTACGTTACGATATCTGTACCAGACTGTACCAGACTGTACCAGACTGTACCAGACTGCACCAGGCTGCACCAGGCTGCACGGCGCTAACTCTACTACTCTTCTACCGTTCTATCGTCATATCGATACTTCCCATTGAGTCCACGTACTGGCACAGCCTATATAGAATCGTATCGGTAGATTTTATGAAACTGAAAAGTCCATTATCTCCCTCTCTCTCTCCCTCTCTCTCTTTCTTTCACCGAGCCCCGATCGATTCGTGATCTCGCCGAAATGGCAAAAGTCTCGTCAGCCTGGATCGTCCCGACGTCGGCTCGTGACGTCGACTCACAATGACGCGCCTTCACCACGACGAAGGAACGTCATCGGATTCCCATTTGAGAAGTAAGTCTTGCGCAACGACAGCCTTAGGATAACCGTAGGAATGAAAATGTAGTACTTAGAGGAAGGAACGACGGTAGGGAGGGGAGAATCTTCTGTGCGACTCGTTTGTAAAATTATCCCTGAATTAACGCAGAGAGAGAGAGAGAGAGAGAGAGAGAGAGAGAGCCCAAGGGATGACTCACGTTAAGAAGAATATTTTGAGAAACAAGAGCAGAAGGCTTCGGGACGTGGAGATCGAGTATGGTCTTCCTCGTGGGAATTTTTTAGGGGATGTTGGTTGTCACAATTAAAACAGTAAGCCGGGAGACCCGTAGAAGATGCTTTTGTCTTTCGAGGAGACACGTGGCTCAATAATTTGTGTGTGTGTGTTCCTTTTTCCCTTGGGAAAATCCATTCCATTCTTTGGATTTAAAGGCGATTCACTTGAGCAACTCTTTTCGCGCTCTCTCCTGTCGCGAGCGAAAGCAACCTTTATTCCTTTATTCCCTAATTCCTTTGATGTTCCGGGTTCACGAGGAACGACTACCGGTCTGTCGGAATCCAAACATTTGTATTTTCCAGCTCTCGAATGCAGCAACCCATTATTCACAGTCGCACAAAAGCTCAATCGCCCGTTCGCTCCATTTACGAATTTCGAGCCTCGATTCGAGCCTGTTCCTTTCGAACCAATCTAACCAATCGAACGCTTCAACCAATTGGCTGTCCAATTTCCAGACTCTCGCAGGATGCTCACTCGCTAGAATATTTTCATCTTTCATCTTGGATCTATCTTGGATTCTAGAACTTGTGAACCAAAAGCGATGTAGCTGCCAGAGTCAGAATGATTTAAGGAACATTTTTAAAAGGCATCAGCGGATATAACTATATAAACTTGAATCACTTGATTGTTAAAATACTAACTCCCCCCTTCCTCCCCCGTCCTTCGTGGATTCGATGAATAATCAGATGTTCTTATTATTGACTAATCGGTAAACAGATGACGCTCTTGGATTTCTCTACGCAATCCTGCTGTCTGTTAGGTTCGGAAAGTCATCGGTATCCGTTAAGATTCAGATTTTAGAGGTTGCCCTTCCTGTCCATTGGCGCTTAAACTTGTAATTTAGTGAAATATTTTGGTCTGCGAAGATAAATATTTGTTGTTGTTGTTGTTTTTATCTGAAAATGACTAATCGACATATCATTATTAGGTTGACGGATGGCAGCCAGCCCATCCAGGGAAAGTCCGTTCGTGGTGGATCCTTCCGTGCTGGAAATCGTTTCCAGGATCCTCGAGCAGGAAGGCGCCAGCAGACGATTCGTCGAGGAAGACGAGGAAAAGGAACCGTAACCGCGTCCTCCTCTGGGCCGACTCAGTGTCGCTCACGAGTCATCGGATAATTCACAAAAGTTCCGAGTGCCTCCAATGTCTTCCTTTTCCTTTTCCCTTCTCCGGTGCGCATCCTCCGTTGAGATTGCCCTTGGATCGCAAGTGATATCAGTGCTATTGTGTGATAGTCAGTGGCTAAGAGCGGTGAACTCGTGACGGATCTTACTGTGTACAGTAATACTAATAATCAGTTTGTTAATAACGCATCGTGCTTCCTCGCGACACTCACCGGACGTTCCTGTGACTCTGTGGGCCATTACGGGCCATTACGGGCCATTACGGGAGGAGCTGTCACACACTTGGTCAGTCTTAAACGAACCGTCCGTGGAACTGGAACAGCAGGAGACTCGGGCGTCTTATGCGGTGGCCAGTCGGTGGTCGCTCGGAGGATCCTTAACACTCAGACGAGACGTAACGACGTTAACGAGCCTCGGGCTTTTTATTTCTTTCTATTCGCTCCTTCTTCGCGTGCTTCGTCGACGCGACTTTGAGGAGGATACCAGTGCCTCTTCGCTAACTTCACTAATAATTCCTCTCGGGCGTCGACTCTCAGTGCATCTCGAATAACCGGAAGTGGTGTCCTGGCCCTGTGGATTAAACGAGGAGCGAAGCCATGATCCCTGCCTACAGCATCGTCCTGATGCTCTTCTCCTGGGCGTCAGGAGCCCCGCAACCTGCTACCTACGCCGACTCCAGTGCGGTGAGTGATCGTTTCTCTTTTTAAATGAATTACTTGTCCATTCTATTCGAAGGTAAGGACCCTCGTCCTAACGATAAGAAGTGTCTGTTGCTCTTGGATTTCGCTCTCTCCTTTTATGGATTTAGGAAGTCTCGGGAGTTCTTCTTTTTATTTTTTCATTTTTTTCTTTTTATTTTTTCCTCTTTATCCCCTTCACGGACTTGCCGTGCCGGTGCATCAGCGAGACTAATTCACGGGAGGCATTATGCACGTGCACGTGGGGCTTGCAGGGCCCACTGGACGGACGGACGGGTTGAGTGTCCGCTAAGGTAGGCGGCGTCCTACAGCCTAATACATAGGTGTATGTGGGCTCGTAAAGCTGCTAAAGCTCCGAACACAGGAATCTGTCCGCGGGAGCCTCGGATCTTCTCCTCGAGCGTTTTCTAAGGCTTATCGCGACGCGCAAAGCGCAAAGCCTCCGGTGACGTTTCATGGCCGTCTTATTGAATTCTCTCTTCTACGAAGACGCGAGCTCCCCGACCTCCGAGATGTGCCTCCCCTTTGCTGTTTCACTCTCTCGCGGATGAGCTTATAAATTAAGATTAATTACCGGCCTATCTCGGCAGGCTATCCGCTGTGCCGCCTGCACTCCTACGAGCGCCGACATCCTCGATCTACATTTTATTTCGCAGCCGCCAATCACAAACAAAGTCTTCGGTATGTTTCTCGCTGCTGCGTAAAACAAAACTAGAAAATATAGCTTTTCCATTTTGACTACCCCGACAGCAGAATCTGCGCGCTGCGACTGGCGCCTAGTCGCCAGTTGGAAAGAGAAGGAGTCTCGATCTGTTCGGGTCCATTCAGCGTCCTTGCTTCCTACGTGCACGGAGAACACGTGCACGGATAAGCACTCGCGTGCGCCTACGGCACGTTGCGTGCGTAGCGACTGCGTAGCGAACCGCAACACTCGTGCCTCAACAATCGCCGTGACTCAAAGTTAGCGAATTTACGAACGAATGAAAAGCAGCAGCGGCAGCGGCAGCAAGGGTGGACGAGCGACTAATTGTAAAGACAATAAGGCGGAGGGCCGGTTGCTGCCTGAGGCATCGACTGCCGCGTTTCGAACTGGCGCCACTCGCTCCTGCTCGACAGGCTCGTCGTGGGTCGATCGTCGCTTCCTGGAACACCAGGCGCGAGCGTAACGCATAAATTTTCATAGTGCCGAGTTGTCGGCGATTCGCCCTCCCCCTCCCACCCACCGAAGGATGACTTCTCCATTCAGTATTCCTGCCGTCATCCCACCGGACCCCTACTGCCAAATTCATCCAAGAGCGTCGCGGCGCCTGAGGATTCGGCAGCTAGAAAAAGTGAAGGCAAAAAATGTTTGAATTTCCTAAGCCGGTTCTTTGGTTTCCAAGCGGCGGTCGTCCCGTTATCGGCCTTTTGTCACAATTCCTGATTGGCCGCGACGTTTAGCTTTACTCCGAAACCATTAAGCAGGGCATTTATATGCAATCGGGGTCGTTAATTGCAGGAAGCGCCGGCGCGCGCACGCTCACGCACACGATATTGTTAACGCACAACCCTCGGCTATGATAGCCAATCATAACGGGCGCAGCGCTGCCCGCGACCGA